GCTGAATTCGTTCGTAAGTTGCTTCAGTGCTATATTTTGTATGGAATGTATGTTTAAGACTTATATAAGTATGTTTAAGGTTTATATAAATATAATAAAATGAAGTTTAACTTACTTTTGGAAGATGTACTCGAAGGCTTAAGGAGATGATGGACGATTGCATAGTTTTCTTCTTTTTCTCATCATAAATGATGTAGTAGCACTGTATGGCATCATTCATTTGATTTGCAACCTTTGTGTGAACGTTCAATATTTGGGTCTTGCTGCTCGAAGAGTGCGATGGCTTTATCTATGAGCGATAACCCCTCGGCCAAGAGTTCCGTCTCAAACTTCTTCATGGGGACAGGCGTTTCCTCCTCCTCCTCTCACAGCGCCTCACGTCGGTATTAGCGGCGGAAAGAAGTACTACAGTACTCGTAAAAAGGCGCGCAATACAAAATCTACGCACGTGTTTTTCACATGACAGTGACGATACATTTATAGTTTGACAATGTTAATTAATTCAAACTCAAACAATAATTAATTCTCAAATCAACCCAAAACGTTATGACACTCAAGGTTTAGAGAAATCAATATTTCTCCACTTGATCCTGTTATCACGGAACCCCGAGGTGGCAGCTCAGCAGCGCTCGAAAGCTCCTTTGTTTGCTCGATGTCAAAACAAGCAGGAACTTTGTGAATGGTGCGTAACCAGCAGACATTACTAGCTCATTATTAAAAAAGCCAGCGTCTAAATTTTGACTCTTCTACTACACCACTACATATCCACAGCCAATGATGACTTTGCCTTTGTGAAATGGATAAAGCATTTTCATGACAGCGCATATCATTAAAACAAGGGGGTTAAAACAATGTTGTCGTATGTAAACATTTTGCAACCCTCTGTGCAGCCTCTTTGGAAAGAGGACACATTGCAATAACGGTTCATGAAGTGATAACCACATTTTCGGATGTGTCTGCAAGCCATGTGTGTGTTTCTAAAATATTCTTTATTTGTGTCGTAATGTAGTCATGTGAACTGATCTCCTTACGCTTTACTTCAATATTTAACAAAGAGGTCACATCACACGGTCGCCTGATCTGCAATGACGATGATGTCATCTCATTTTTGTTTGTCCAAAACACTATGTGAAGAAATGTCTTCAAAAGCCAATATCATGATGACAACCAAATATAATCCATCATGAATACATTCTGGCCGGATATTTTCAGTGAGCAGCAATAAACCTTACTCGTGAACTTTTATATTGTCTACCTTGTCTGTTTTTGTCATCCCTCCCCATAACACTTAAAACATTCGAAACATTGAAAATACAGGAAAAGTCAACACATCAATCCCAATATTCTTTAAATATCTTTATTCTTTAAGAATAGAACACTGTATAATTATAATAATAAACTCCGACCTATGTATTAATTTCAGTTCATACGCGGAAAAAAAAAATTTGCAGCTCGGTGTATTTTCAGATGGCTTAGGCATGTTCTGCTCAATCAGATCCCATCAAGTAAGCGTTGGTGCGATCTCTCTTTCGCCTTCGGTGGGAGCGCCCAGCCACTCTTGTCCGCTCTTTCTCGCTCCGTGTCAGTTCAAGCGTCGGTGCACGTCGTCTTTAGACTTTCCCTGCATCGGAAAACAAAAGATCGTCAGTTGGAAAAGAACCAACGTGTCGCTCTAGTCACGTTTGCCGTGCACATTCTTGTCAAAATCAACAGTTTGTGATTGTCGTGCGAATGCATTGACAGTCTTATTTGTGAGCAGTATGAAAAAAATATAAAATAAAAATAGGGATGGGCATTGGGAAACCTTTCTGGATCAGGTTTGTGTTTTTTTTTTAAAAGCATGGAGAGAAAAAAAAGCTGAGCTCTGCCGTGCTCTCCATTTTCAATTGTTTCAACACATGATGAATCAACAATCAAGTTGCACTCGACTAATTTCTTCATGAGCAATTTGTCCTTAGAATCAAAAATTATGCCCATCTCTAATAAACACGGTGCTCTTGTCATCGTAAATGCTTTCTGAAGCTGCACATTTGCACTCTGGCCTCACTGCTCACGCCGTTGTGAGTCCTGACATGCGGATTTTGAGCATAGCCATTTTTTTTTCTTGTTGGAATGTTGAGCATTCTCAGTGCTTATGAGGAATATCATCCGCTGTTCCAAAGCGCCTGAGGCATTCAAACGTCAACATGGATGAAAAGTTACACTCACCAAAGTCCTCTTAATATTGATGACACATTTAACAAGACCCAAAATTGGGGCCAAAATGACAATCGTTTGTTATCAAAGTGCCATCAATGTTTTAGTAGACGATGGCCATTCCTTTAGCAGAGCTGGAAAAACGTAACCATCATATTTTTTTCACAAGGGCAGTGGGAAATGGTATTGTTAAATATTAAAAACTTTTAATAGCTTGTTAGCTTAATACCGTTTGATTTATGACCCAATTCTGCGGTCGATGTGGCGAGCATCAATTAACTGCAGCTTATTACAAGCAATAACCTTTCGGTGACATTTCAATAGCGCAATGAAAAGGCACCGTCGTATGCAGGAAGCCTAGCGGAAACGCCGACTTTAACACTAACATGAAACTTCATGTTAGACTTTCAAGACATGCACAATGCTAAACCTTGAGATGAGCAATACCTTGTCACGGGGGTATGAAGGAAGTGGGTGGGGGCAGGTTTAGACTGGATTGTAAGAGGGGCAACAGTTAAAAGAGCATCCAAGGGGAGAAAAATGAAATGTCATCATAGCAAGCATGTGGAAGTGTTAAAGAACGAAGGAGCTGGATGTTAAATACATTAACATTAATTGGGTGGCCATTATTTTGCTTACCGCTAAGGAAAAAAGAAAATTGAAACAATCATCTCCGGCATTCACCAAATGTAAAAAAAAAAAAAAAAGATACAACTTTACAGTACTTTGTTCCCCTTGTGGAAACTATCACTGATACTGTCATGAGAAAAAATAAAAACAACAACAAACGAAATAGAAACCTACCCTCCAGATATGTGCGAGCCACAAACTTGAGCATCTCATCGATAAGAATGACTGGGAAGGAAAGCTTCAATACCACAATCCACTGGTCCACAGTCAAGTGAGTGAGCTTGAAAATCATCTACGGAAGACACACAAACAATACCGCTTTGTCAACCAGGATCATGAAAGGCGGTGGTTATTCACTCAAAACAATTTGTTTGACTTTTCGCAATACACTGATTGGGTTCTATGCTAGAGTACCGCCATGATCTCCTCCAAATGCATCTGAAGGAGCGAGGAGACCACAAAGGCCAAAAGTTGCGGCCTCACTTAACAATTTCTTCATCATCATCATCCTCAGGGACTGTTTACGGTGAGGTGGATCGGTGGGTTGGGGTAGGGTCCCCTATTAAGAGACTCACGGGCAGGGGGTCCACGTAGATGATCATGAAGTGAAGGGACATGGAGAGGGTCATGGCAGCCACCAGCCAGATGTTGCTCCAAGGGGGCATGCGCATCAGCGACTGGTTCTCAGACAAGCTGGTGGCAGAAAAGAGGACGTGAGTTCACTTCGAGGTTCTTTTAGTCTTGCCAATGTCTAGTTAGTCGCACCTATTTAGAGCGTTGCACATCTCAATGGTGACCAGCACAGACAAAGCCATGGTCATTGGAGGAGATGCCTCAAACACATGACAGTGGATCCCGGCAAAGTCCTCATTGTCGTCACTGCACTGCATGAAGTGCGACTAAAGACCAAAAAAACCCCAAAAAACAATTCATAATCATTATACTGAAGGAGAGGGTAGAACTGGGTTACGCTATTGTCTCAGCCAAAATGCTCCCGCCATTAAATACCAACCAATTGATGGAAGGAGACCAATGGCCCATCCTCGCAATACAGGAACCACCACGCAGCTGCGGCAACAGTTGCAGCGCCAACGTAACCTGGAAAACATTTGACGTTTTGAAGTTCGGGTGGCAGGCCGGCTCCTTTGCTCGGACACACATTTTTTTTTTTTCAGATAAGCATCCCATTAACCTTTTTAGTATTGATTTGCCACATGATAACACTGAGACGGAGGTGTTACCATGGCAACAGCACCATCGAGAGAGAAATGGCGCGGATGGAGGCGGATTGGAAGCTTAGTTGCCAGACTAAGAGTATGAGGAACCAGTATGATGGCTGAACATTTTTAAATTAATTATTACAACCCGCTTGACTTTAAAGGTCATGTCAGCACCACAAACAAGTGTAGGTTGCCCAATGGGAAACAGTGGTCTTCTCCAAATACATCTCATGCGGTACTAATCACAGAAACGCATTTATCCAAAAGAAGCAAGCGGAACTATTTAGTACCTCCAATGGCCAGATATCTGAAGAACAGCCAACCGGAGATCAGGGGCTCTTTGGGCGATCGAGGAGCTTTGCCCATGATGTCCAGGTCCGGAGGGTTGAAGCCCAGAGCAGTGGCGGGAAGCCCGTCGGTCACAAGGTTGACCCAGAGCAACTGAACTGGGATCAGAGCCTCGGGCAGGCCCAAGGCCGCAGTCAGAAAGATACTGAAGAAATATGGAAAGGTTTAGTTTTGGCGGTCTCTACCATGCCGAAGTATAAACGCTGCTATGTGAGCCAAGGTCCAAAACGAAGTGCTTATCCTGTCAAGGGTGACCGTCGTCAAGTACTTACCAGACAACCTCACCCACATTGGAAGAAATGAGGTAGCGGATGAACTGCTTCATGTTGTTGTAAATCGCTCTGCCCTCCTCGACAGCAGATACGATGGAAGAAAAGTTGTCATCAGCCAGGACCATCTCAGAGGCTGACTTGGCAACGGCAGTGCCAGAGCCCATGGCGATGCCGATCTCCGCCTTCTTCAAGGCGGGGGCATCATTCACTCCATCTCCGGTCTGCGTTCATGATGGAAGAGAGGTTGTTGGCGGGAAATTGCCTCCATGGACCAATTGGAAAGCGGATTCCCATGTCACGTTGGGGGAAAGTTCGTCTCCTCACCATGGCAGTGATCTCATCAAAGCCTTGGAGGAACTCAACAATTTTCGATTTGTGGGACGGTTCCACCCTGGCAAAGCAACAAGCCTTACGGACTGCGTTCTTCTGGTCATAAGAAGACAGGTCATCGAACTCACGACCGGTGAAGGCCTTGCCGGTGACGTCCTCGTCCTCGGAGAAGATGCCGATGCGGCGACAGATGGCCACCGCTGTGCCTTTGTTGTCACCTGAGCAGACAAAAGCAGGACAACTGACTTTGTTTTTTCTCACAGCTCAAGTTGAGCGAGAGCCTGCGGACTACTGACCGGTGATCATAATGACACGAATGCCAGCGGCTCTGCACAGCTCGATGGAGCTCATGACCTCCTTACGCGGAGGGTCGAGCATACCAACGCAGCCCACAAAGGTCAAGTCAGTCTGATGGCAAAAAGAACGTTTTGGTGACTCCTTGCGGTACTTACTTTTAATATCAGTCAACTTGGGTTGATTGTCACTCATCGGGGTCCAGTAGGAGTACCTTCTGTACGCTAAAAAGTCATACTGGACTATTTATTGAAGACTACTTTGTAAATTTGCATGCCCAAAAATCGAGACTTCATGGACAAGCTTTCACAAGTGCTGCACTCGAATCCAAGTCAGTTGAGTATTGGTGTTAAGTTGTCATTTTCTTAAATCCCTGATTTATTCTTCACGGTTAAAAGTTGGAAATAAGGTAGCATCTGCAATCCTGAAACAGGCCAATTACATCTGAGCTTCTAACGTAGCAGGGGCTGTCACTCACCTCATACTCTGCAAACCTGGTTGAGTCCTCCAGGTTCATCTCCTCCTTCCTTAGAGGAGAGTCGCAGGTGGCCAGTGCCAGACAGCGAAGGGTGTCTCGCCCTGTGCCCCACTCCTTGATTACTGCCATGATGTGATCTTTGACCGGCCCAGTCAAGGGAAGACGAGTGGTACCCACGCGAACGTATGAACAACGCTCAATCACACCCTCAGGGGCACCCTGGATAAGACATTTTGAATGTCACAACATTTTGCTGCGTCTCTTAAAGCTGACTTGCTGCTCATTTTCAACTTAAACCTTTCCAGACTTGAAGCTGTGTCAATGTGTATGAATATGTCACTCACTTTGACAAACATCTTGTTTCCAACTGGGCCTTTCCCAGACTTTGCTGGAGAACAGTAGACTGACATTGACTTTCTGTCTCTGGAAAACTCCAGCGTGAACTCCTTCTTCATCAACTGCTTAATCACCTGTTCGAGAAAAGTCGAAAATGAAAGCTCCATCCATGTTATTCGCCTCACGGCAGACTGATGGCTTTTTGTGCGACTTACGCTGCAGCAAGCATTGGCTCGTTCCACCCTGGACAGGCTGCGCACTTCAGTGTTGAACACGTTCATCTTCTCCACCAAACAGCTGAGAGCGGTTTCAGTGGCCTCGCCCACTTTCTCGTAGATTCCCTTGGACTGTGAAGGAGAACGATGCTTTCAGTTGATTTGATTTGCAAATTCCTGCACACGTGCTCTCTTTCGCACTCTGCCAACCTCGTTGTAGTCAAGCGAGGAGTCATTGCAAAGGGCGCAAATGGTGGCCAGCTCAACCAGTCCATCATACTGGCCGCATTTTACGCTCACGCCCCTCCTTGTCCTAAAAAGATTGAAAACTATCGTTTTGCGCGATTCATTTTGTACAGCACGTGTACTTGCGTATACTTACACTTCTCCCTCAGGTGTGTACTTTGAGCCAGAGATGTCAAATTGACCGAGAGTGACATTCTCATTGTCCACTTTATCGATAATGAACATCTGCAAGGGAATTATTATTATTATTTTTTTTTTTTGGCGTCAACTCTTGCTCTACTCGAAGCTTTATACTGCATGGGAATGAGACATGTTTCAACCTACCTTAGTCACACACATCTGATTAGTGGTGAGGGTACCAGTTTTGTCAGAGCAAATGACTGAGGTGCACCCCAGGGTCTCGACAGAGGGCAGGCTTCTGACGATGGCATTCTTCTTGGCCATGCGTCGTGTTCCCAAAGCCAGACAGGTGGTGATGACGGCAGGCAGACCTGAGATGGTTGGAAGCATCTCCAGTATTAGTCTCGGCTTCCCAGCTACGAGCTCTTCTTGTCAAGCTCTCTTTTTTTGTGTCCATTCTTGAAAAATGTGTAATGCCGGACAATACCGATGGTGGACCTTGCACACATTCTCACAATCTCTACTTCACATGCTTGTACAAGGTGTAGAAGATCCAGACGGGTAGAGAAAATATATTCCCGTTGGCAATAGAACTCATAAAATAAAAACGGAATACAGTCAAACCTCGGTTTTCGTCCATAATCCGTTGCAGAAGGCTGTTTGAAAACCGAAATTGTTCGAAAACCGAAACCACGCTCTTTTTAAAATAAAAATGCTTCCTGAACACGTCTGCTCACAATGGTAAGCAACACGAGGAAGCGTCACTTCCTCGTCTACCCGAGGAAGCGTCACTTCCTCGTGTAAGGAAGGCGAGAGGAGTCAAATGGTGCATTTAAGTGCGCTCAGTTTGTTCGAGAACCGAAGTTTATTCGTCATCCGAGGCATAAAAAACTCGAAATTTTTGGTCGAAAAAAAAAAAAAATCTTCATAGGCAGGCAATTCAAATTCCTGGGCTTTACCTTCAGGTATGGCAGCCACAGCTAAAGCCACAGCAATCTTGAAATAGTAGATTGCGCCACGGAACCATGAGCCACCATGAACCGGGTCATTAAAATGTCCAATGTTGATTATCCACACCGCCACACAGATGAGGGAGATGACCTGGAGAAGGCAGAGAAATAGACACCGGATCGGCCATTGTCATTTTTAAAATATTCTTTGGGTCAAATTGCCTTGGTTGTTTTCATGTCTTGTTTGGGGCTCCCACCTTGGAGAGCTGCTCCCCAAACTCATCCAGTTTCTGCTGCAGAGGGGTCTTCTCCTGCTCGGTGGCAGCCATCTGGTCGCGGATCTTCCCGATCTCGGTGGAGACGCCGGTTGCCACGGCGATGCCGGTGGCTTTTCCAGCAGCAATGTTGGTGCCCTAAGTGTTGGGTTTTAAGCTGAGTTTAATGACCTTTTTGGGAATTGATATTTTGAGAGAGTAAAATTGTAACTAAAACAGGATAAGGAAGTAGGATTATACTATCATGTAATTAAAAAAAAAAAAAATAATGCTCCCTTTACCAGAGGTAATTATGAAATATCTGCGGTGGTATGAAGAAGACACTCACAGAGAACAACATGTTCTTTTTGTCCTGGTTGACGGCTCGTGGGTCCGGGACGGCATCGGTGTGCTTGATCACACTGACTGACTCACCTGGGGAGACCCACGACGGGGTGACCGCAGTGTCAGTCACACCTCTTTGCAAAGTGCACCCACGGGTGACAACACCTACCCGTGAGAATGGACTGATCGACGCGCAGAGTGGTGGATTTGATGGAGATGATCCTGATGTCTGCGGGTACTTTGTCACCAACTACAAATAGATCGAAATGCGCAAAATGACCATGTTCGTAAAAACTAATGATAGTGGTTCATTTAACAAAGTATCTATTGATCGGGTATGCCGATGGCTTTTAACGAGTTACATGGATTGGGCTGTCAGTCAGAGGCAGAAAAAGACGATGAACTAATACAGAATGTTGTGATGGGGAACTTACCGGAGACCTCCACCACGTCACCAGGAACAATCTCCCTGGCCTTTATTCTCTGCACGCTCTTCCTGTCCGCCCGGTAAACCTTACCCATCTCAGGCTCATATTCCTTCAGAGCCTCGATTGCGCTCTCTGCGTTACGCTCCTATGGAGAAAAAAAGATATACTCCCATCATCATGGTAAGAGACACTGAATATACACGACTCACAAAACATGAGAGCGCTTTCAGGTGAAATCTCAAGGACCCATAGTTGAAATCAACCAAAAGGGCAATCATTTTAGTTTGAGGGAGCCATTTGGACTTCTATATTGATAAACTCCAACCGGGCAATTCTTCCGCATGAGCCCCAGTTGACACCACGTACAGTAGACAGAACGTGAAACTGACTGAATGAATGAATCAATGGAGCTTTATGCCAAAAAAAATAAAAATAAAAATAAATAAAAGAAGTCAGGACGGTCCCAATTCTTTTCCACATCACTGTACATCAAGAAAAATGGGAGTTGACACCCCACACCTCTCATTGCCTCCAACTGTAAAGCCCTCTCTCTCTCCATTCTCATACCCCCCATGTGTGAATCCTTGTGCATAGTTTCCAAATGACTGCCACAGTATTGATGCCCTCAAACTCCTCCGTCAAACATCGCACAGAGACATGATCTTTTTTCTTTTTTTTATCTTTATTTTTTACACGTGTAGTGTCGTCTTCAAGGCAGGTCGGCTCTAAGTCTTCCCCCGCCTCCCCTCCTCCCACCCCCTCTGCACCTCCACAAGCTTGGCTTAACCTTTCACCCCCAGCGCTTTGCCTGACGTCATGCCGCTCATTCTGGTTTCATATGAACTTTAAGCTCTCGCCACGGCTCTGGAAGGAGCACGCCGCAAAGGACAAAAGGACCGCCACCCGAACACGCCGCTCGTATAATTTAGTATGTGCGACCGGTTCTAAGAATACGAGTCTATTTAGGTGAGTGTAAAAGACGGCCCTTCAGGGGCAGGTATGTGTCCTTGAGACTGCGATTGTTCCTGTGGGTGTTTGTTTGAGTCGCTGACCTGCCACACGCCAACAACGGCATTGGCGATGAGGATGAGGAGGATGACAAAAGGCTCAACGAAGGCTGTGACTGTTTCCTCACCTTCCTCGAACCAAGCCAGTACCTGAGAGAGACGGAGAGTGAATTACAACTGTTCTGGGATGTTAATGCAAAAACGTGTGCCGAATGCATGTGAGAATATTGAATTTCCAATTGACGGTCCAACACGTGTGCACTTCTGTGCGTGGCAGCTCCGTGTTACTGCACACGGGTCTGTTTTGGAATCCCGTCATGTTGACATTGACACAGATTAGTTGCGGGCCAGTGGAGCAAAGTCCTATAGCCATAAAAAAAAGTCCTCAGAACTCTTTGGTTGAATCAAACTTGTCCTTTGCTTGTATCCTATTTGCTCTTTTGGCAGCCTTTCCAAAAGTTAGTCTTCACCTTGTTGTATAGCTTCAGCTGACTTATCTTCACCTCAAAGATAAGACATCTCCAGAAAATTCCAAGCCTGTCAGAACATTGTATCGACAGGACGTTCCTGCGTGTATGAATCGGGGAGCCGCGCATTCCCAGTCTTGACTGTTCTCACTTTTCGAAAGCATGCATGACTCCGAATCTATTGCTCCCGTTTGTCATCGTAACAATGATGCTTGTGCAACCCAATCCCCGGCTGCCTTCTGGGTCTCAATCTCCTGCTGCTGCTGCAGGCCACCGCTCGTTCCTTCCATCCATGACCTTTGTCCAAGGATACAGTTTCTCTTCCTGGGTTGAGAATTTCTTAAAATAAAGCTCCGGCCATGCATATGTACACACACGCACGCAGGGGCGCTCTCTTTTTCAGCCCGCCTTTCTCTTTCCCACACGCATGCATACACACCGGCACCATCTGGCCTTCTAAGGCCATCGTGACAGCTGTGTAGGCAAGCCAGAGGGCAGAGATGGGAGATTAAGACAACGTGTGCAGCCTCCCTCCGCTAAACTGTTTTGGAGAGAAACCAAAGAGGCGGGAGGAGGCTTTCTTTGGCTCCATACGAGTGAGGGCGTGAGTTGTAATGTCACTGAATGACTCTGGAAGCGACAGAGCTGCGAGCTCATTTCTGAGAGAAATTTTAACTTTGACCGGTATCTTTTTTTTTTTCATATTTAATAATATATAACCAAAAAAAAAAGCCAGCACCCTTACTTTAACCTATTTCAACCCATCTAGCACGTGTAGATGTGACAATTTGCTTTTACAAAGTGAAAAGGAAAGCACTCAAACTCACAAAAGAGATGCAGGCGGCCAGCAGTAGGATTCGGACCAAGAGGTCCTCAAACTGTTCCACTACCAACTCCCAGATACTCTTCCCTAGAAGAAATACACAAAATTGACATCACGTTATGCCCCGCGCTTGCAGAATTAATTAAATTAAACATGCAAATTAGGGGTTGAACTGATTCGTCGACAAATCAAATTTACTACTTAAACCTTGAATTCGACTTTTCGCTCATCACTCGTTTTTGGCATCTTTGTTTCCCGATTGGCCCATTTACAGAAGTATGACATTTTGTGGAGCGCCAATATGGCGACACGGTCTTCACATGTCTGCGCTCTTCCACCAGTAAGAAATTAAGCTCGTTTTGGATGAGATTTGTGATTAGCTTTGCTTGCTTCAGCTATTCTAAATATAGACGCCGGTAGTTTTAAAACGCTGTGGGACTGGTAGATCCCCGTGGCAACCGGCTCCATCATCAAAACGTGATGTCCAATCATGCATGGACATCAATGGTGCGCTACTTTATTTCTCAGAGAAGTCGATGGATTTCCGAGCAGGTGTTAAATGAAGGACTGGAGCTTGTCAGAGTGTGTAGGAAGCGAGCCGAAGTGTATGGCACTGATGCTTTAAGATGGATGACAGAAAGCCAGACTCACCCTCCTCCGCTGGCAGCTCTGTAGGTGAAGAAAAAAAAAAAAGATTTGAGAGATTAACGAGCCCGGATCACCACTCGACAAATTTACTGCACTGTTTGTCATTCCTGCTGCATTAAGTGACACGACTCTCCACTCAAAATCCATTTTCAAGAAATAGACAGGTGCAAGTGCAGATGCTTATCTTGAATAAATCTGCTACTGTGTATTGTCATACAGATACATTTGTTGTTTGTGTTTGTTAAAAAAATGCTGAAGGAAAAAACAATTCATAAGCGGACCTTGGAAAAATAATCGCATATCAAATCGGGATCACAAGTTAGTATATAAAAAAAATCGTTCAGCTCTACAGTATGTAGATGGATATCTGCAGTATAGATGTCTCAGCTCCTCGCGGAGGATAAAGAATATGTGAATGTGAATACGGTGATAAGAAATGTGTATCTCTTTAAACATCAGTTCCTTAAAGTGCTATACACAGTACCCATTTCCCATTATGTGCTAGTATTAGCATTAGGTGACGAAGGGATTAGCAATTTTATTTGTTTGATTCTCCCCGTTTCAAAGTCCTGGTGACTAGAGTTGAGTTCACTACCACCATGCAGTGCGTGTATCTCAAGTTTGTGTTCACAAGTCGAAAAAGAAATCAAGTGATCGACTGCTTGTGCCTTGGAAAAAAAGTCGGATCACTCAAGACTTTACTAAATGACCTTCTGTGACCTTAGCAACCCTCTTTTTCCATCCTCGTGATCATCCATCCATCTCACTCCCTCACCGTTGTAGCCATACTTGTCCAGGTTCTTCTTGAACTGCTCGGGCGTTAGGCCTTTGTCCTCGGTGACGCCAAAGTAGGCCAGAACCTCCTGTGGCTCTTTGGTGTGTGCGTTCTCCATCCCGGCTGAAGCGGAGAAGCTTCGCGACACCAAGACACCTTTCAAACGTGCACACACACACACTTTAGCGATACTTACATCAGCTCATCTGATGCTGCAAGTTCAAAGACGAAAATGAAATTCACCCACCGCTTTCGTGGAGTGTAGCGCTTGGGAGCAAAAAAGGGTTAACCCCCCTACACGCTGCGTACACCCTGACTGGACCCCCTCGCTCGCTCACGCTCTCAGTGAGATGTTTCTCTCCTTCCAGGAGCTCCGGACTGACAGAAAGTGCAACTTGGCAAACTGCTCTGAAAAGTTTTATACGTGTGGAAAAAGTTCCCCGATTGGTGTCTGCTCACCATGCGCTCACCGCTCATTGGCCGAGAGCGCCGCGGGGGGAGGGAGGGGGCAGAGGGCAACAACTGCAGAGGGTGTCCACGCTGGAAATAAGATGTGTAAAAGAGAGACAACCATGAGGGGGTGACACTTTCTGAATGAGAGCTAGGGGACACCGGTGGCCATGCGGAATGACTTTGTCTATTGGCGTCCACATGTTGCCGCTCGTTCACTCAGATGGGGATTAACAGAAATGCAGAATACGACGGTGGCGTTTGATGTGTGGAAAGTGAAATTGACACGTCGAGCTTTCGGTTTTAGGGAAAATCGTTACATATTATTCAGCTGTACTTCCAACACCTCTGACGACTCACTAGTATGTCATTCATCTTTTTTTTTTCATTTAAAGTGAGTGTGATATGTGTGTTTGTCTAGATGTGCTTTTTAAGTGACCTTTGACTCTCATCTTCATCAGAATCTTACATGATCCATGACAAAAGATGTAAGTGGCATTTTGATTGACACTGTCACTGGTGTGTGGCATGAAAGGCCCTTTTAAATAAAATGCATCATTATTATTATTATTATTATTAAAAGAATGATGTTTTTGTTTTTTGTTTTTTTTGGGGGGCTGCTCGGTATGTTGAAAAAATATATATCATTGTGATCATGGCCCGTGTAATTATGCACGTCACACATTTGGTAAAATTAATATATTTTCACACCTCTATGCTACTAGTCAGTTTTTTTTTAAATTATCAGCAATTTGTCATATGAGCTCTTTTGCATTGTTTCAGCTCTGCTAACTACAACTGATCGTCACTCCATCATCATCGTCCACAACCACTTTCTCTCTGCTTTTGTCGTTCAGACCCGTGTTGCATATCCCCGCCTCCCCCACTGCCCCCACCCCTCGTGACCCGGGGTGTCGTCTGGCATGAGCTCCATCTCCCTTTGGGGATCAGGTTGCTGCGGCTCTTTCTAAATGCTTCTATGCCCATAAAAACATGGCGGTGATAATCCTGCATGCGCATAGATACCTACTAACAGGAACACATACAAAGAGGAGGTATTGTAATTTGACTTGCTCTTGATGTAGACGCGTCCATGCTGGTTTTTCAACCTAAAAATATACACAATCCAGATTTGGAATGTAGTATGTGACAACAGTCCAGCCTGGCATGCAAATACGGAACATGAAAATCTTCTGTTGTATTTTAATCTTATTAGGGCCACTCATTTGCTGGGGCCTGCGCCAACTGAGTTTTCAGCCAGAGGCGTGGTGGACCCTGGACTGGTCGCCAGTCAGTTGCAGGGCTCATATAGACGAGAGACAACTATTCCCTGCTCACAATCACACTGATAACGTGCCTGTTTTGGAACGTAAGGAGAAGCCGGAATATCTGGAGACAACGCTGGCAAACGCCTCAGCTTGTTACTGAACCTCTCGACCGAGACACAAATGTGCTCATGCATTGCGATAAGTCATTATTAGGAAAATGAATGATTAAGCTAATTGAGAGAATAAGAATTTGAAAATACCGCACGCATGGTAGGTGGGCGTACAGTATTGTGCATGTGTACTGTATGGGGAAGAACATTTAGGTGCATGTATACGAAAAAGTGTTTCAAAGGACGATACACGTATTTTGGGAGGTGATAAAAACACTCAACACAAGTCGAGAAGTCTTGATGGTTGACTCATTTTGTTGCAATTCGCAAAAAACACACATTTGCATCCCACGTTGTGCTTCCGCAGCAAAAGATTCGGTGCATCACAAATAGGAGCTCGAATTGGATGTGATGTAACCGGCGTGTGTGCGCATTAGAACTCGTCGGGAGGCAATGTGGGAGGCGGGCATGTAAGTCATATCTGCCCGTGGCTGCTAATCACTGCCATGGATCCGGGAAGCCCCAATCAGCGGGAGAATAGCGGAGGCCAAAAGTAGTAGCGGGGGAACAGCTCGTCTGTTTAGGAAGTGGTGTATAGTCTGCGCGGTATAATTAACGGAGGCTGGGCAGCTGGGGTTTGAAGTGCCCCACTGTAACCGAAACGATATCAGCAGTTGTGTTCCTCCGGTATAAATAGTGGCGCGGGCATGTGGGCAGGCAGCTATGACACAATGGCAGAATTTCACTGTTCTTTCAGGGAGGTTCGAGAATGTGACACCCTGCCCGGCAAGGACGGCCCCAACCCGCGCCCTCCGCAGCCCCCAGATGCTTCGCCCAGTCTTGAAGGTTACGTCAAGGTGGCCATGGCAGCGCGCTGCATTTCGGAGTGATGGGATGACGTTTGGCAGAGGTTTCATTTGTCTTGCCAAGGTACCGAATAGGAGATGGGCACGCATGTCAGAGTTGCAAGTTGCAAGCTGCCCTCTCATCATAGAAGCTTTGCGATTAAATCGTTTGGAGGGATGGAGTCATTTAATACTTGGAGCGTGGAGACCTCTGCCAAGGACAAGCAGCTTTGAGTGCGTGAATAGTTTTTGCCCCGCGACTAACTGGCGACCACTCAAGGGTGTACCCTGACTCACCCAAAGTCAGCTGGGATCGACTCCAGCCCACCTGCAATCCTAAAGACGACCCATGATAGAAGAAAAACAAAAACAAAATAATTCCAAGAGCTTTATATAGAAGATTTTTTTTTTTTTTTTTTTTTTTTAAATCAAACCTTCTTGGCTGAGGTCAGTGCGTGGAGCTCACCGGACAATAGTCACGTTCTCATGTGATGATATTAAATGTTGAATGCGCAGGCAAAAGGTCACAACCAAGTCCTTCTCGGAAAGTCTCACACTGGGAAGCCATCTTGGCGCAAACACCTTCAGGTGGTTATTTCAGGCTCGGCTTATTTTCGAAATGACTTGCCTAAGTCTTCGCTGACTGACAATGGACATAAAACAAGTGCGCATAAAATGACCTGATGTGACACTTATGGTTTGCCATTCTGAGTAAAAAAAAAAAAAACACAAAACAAAAATTCTCATTGTGTACTGGCGTGCTAGATCACCGTGAGAGCATCCTTCCTACGTTCTTTTCTGGAATTTGTGTGTTCCGTGCCCACAATTGCTACTTCCTGATTGCCATCAAGCTATGCCTGCAACCCCCCCCCCAAAAAAAAAAAACATCTTCCCTGATGTGTTTTGTGCTATTTGCTCTACAATGTCTTTACCGAGTGCATGAGCCGCGCACATGGCAAGATAGTGGCAAAAACAGACGACACCGCCGCCCCGTGCCAAAGATTTAGCCACATGAACACGTGACGTCATGGCGAACAACTCAAATGTTGCGAGGAGATTTTGATATTGTTTAGCCGTTTGAAAAAACGGATGGACGGCGACAACAACAACAACCACTACTACTACTACTAATAGGGCAACTAAAAATAATTTGAAAATATAGTCTTGTTGGCATGTCAGGACCTGAGCCTCTCTGTCACAGGATACATTGACTCTAATTGTGACAGGTTAAATCCCGCTACATGCTAATAGTAATCGAAATAATTCTCTGGCTTGCTATGGCTCTCCTCTCGTGGCCCCGCCCTTCCCCGCCGCATCACTTTGCCAACCGCGCGCCCCCCGGAATGTGACCCCCGGTGTGGATGCGCTACAAAGCGTGAGTGTCCCTGAGAAGTGGGAACAAGGACACACTTGAAGCCTCCTTTCATGGGTGGGAAAATTGTAAACTGATGAAGTGCCAATTCCTCCGCAGAAAATGCGTTTGGGCTTTGCAATGAAACCGATCCAGTGGGCCCAAAGTTAAACCGCCCACACACACAAGACATCTAAATATACACGCTAATGTACACTCAGTGCCCGGTGTCTCTTCGAAGTGTTGTGGTTTTGTTTACAGGAACCTGTCCAGCCTTTTAGGAGGTTCTGACATCAGTGAGTGTCCCATTAGCACCTTGTGCTCGCTCTGTTTATTTGCCTCGCTCACAACTATGGAATTGTTTTTGTGAGTCATAATGGACAATTTCAAGAGAGAACGCCACAGGCAGGCGCATATAATGTGCAGTGACACACGGATGTGGTTAGCGGAGGAGCATTTCATTGAGTTGCCTGTCACTTTCATAAATAGATCAGTAATCAATAAATAATACTGCTTTAATTTGGGATTTTTTTTTTGGGGGGGGGGACTTGCTGCCGTTTGAAATTTTATATTGAACTGCATATGGCTTTTCTGACCCATACATGGACCCGACCACAGATGCAGGTTGACGATGACGGGATGCAAGGGACACAAGAAACGGAGCGTGATGACAGGATGATTGATGAACCGAAAGGGCTCCACTGGGAAGAAGTTCATCGAGACGCAGAGGTGAGCGGGGGACAACACTTTATGACCGGTGATTAGCACCCTTTGGCTTTTTTTATTGTCCGAATGCGGCACTGTGGCGTTGTTTACACACAAAGACATCCTGAAGGAGTTGTGTACTTTGATGCAAACTTTTCAGTATTGGCAAATATTTTTTCCGAAAAGAAACTAGCAACAGATTTCGGTGCTTTTAAAATTTGAGAGGAAACTTTTAAGCAGTTTTTGAAAAGTGCTTGCTAAAATACACACGCTTTCCTTCTACACGATTTGCCTGTTTTTAAGAAATCTTGCCAAGTAACTTTTCAAACACGGTTTTCACACTCCAGCAATTAGTGACCCAAAGGTTTAAAAAAAAAAAGCACTGCATTGAATGAACTGCAGCCTACCCCAGATGACTTTTGGCGAGTGGTGGAGTACATCCTGGACTGGTTGCCAGCCCACTATGGGGGCTCATATACAAAGTAAAAGATAACCAGTCATAGTTTTTTGTAATCGGCTCGGAAAGGCATTCATCGACATATGCTGATCACGTTGCTTTTCCAGGGAAATCAGCCAATTGCAATTGTTGGGCGATCAAACTGAGCACCACTAATATGTACTGTATATGTTTATAAAAATAATTTTAAAATGTGCAACCACTTTTCAATTTTGTGAGTACTGAATCAATCATTCTAAGCTTCTCCGATTTTGTACATACATATGTGACACAGCGTAAAAAAAAAACAAACAAACAAAAAAACAGACAGTAATTTAGACCATCAGACTGACCGCGTGTATGGCATGTATCAGACAGGTGTGTGAGCGCATTTGTGTGTGTATGTGTGTGCACGCGCGTGTGTGCAGACAAAAGTGTGTGGCCACATGTAAGGGTGTTCCTATGCAACAGGTGTTTAGTTGGAATGGTGCTAATCTTGAAGTGCTGTCCCACCAAGCCCCTATTCCTGGGACACTCGCACGTGACGACGATGCTTTTCTCATCCCTGTAGGGAAGCAATTGTTTTGAAGTGAATCGTGTCAAACTTACTAATGATTATCTTAAATGAGGAGAATTTATACCCGGGCGGGTTTGAATGTATTGATCGTACAAAAAAGAAACACTACTTAAAAACGGTACCTAACTCACTGAATGAGGGCTTAATGTCTTCGACCTCACAACTTCCAAAGATGTTTGGCTTTGGGCAGAGGCGGACTTTCCTGACTTCAACCGCCTGTTCCGAATAACATTAGCCAATTATAGAAACCATACTGAGCAATTGGAACTATAACAGCATCATCAAACTCACCAGAAATGCTCATCGCTAAATGTTTTCACATGCGCCGATATGTTTAGCTTCGATTTTTTGTGGAATTGTGAGATCAAATCTGATTGGTTAAAGGATCGGTCCCTTTGCTCAATCAGTTTCAGTTCCATCAACCGGCATGACTGATCTGGACCCCAGGGCTGATTTAGGGCTGATTGTGACACTGATTCTTATATGACGAGCTCACGGTGAATTGTCAGATGGTCAGCTGATGACGGGATAACGACTTTGCCGTTATAAATCAATGGCGGTATTCGTGGTGCTCCAGGGCAGGAGCCAAAGTGGTGAAAGAGGAGCCAAGTGAATACGATAACACTTACCGGTAGTCTGTCAGTGCTGTTTGCAAAGCATCCTCGGCAGCGGCTTACGGATGTCGTGACGGAGAACGATGACCGCCGGCTCTCGGGAAATCAAACAGAATATGTCTGCAAGAAAATGTTTGAAAGTATGAATAAAGCACATGTTAGATCGACTCCAACTAGATTGACAATTCATGTAATTGAGAGGGGGAAGGCGTCGCGGCTTCATTGAGACACGGAAAATAGTTAGCAGAACAGAAGGTCCAATTTCTCCGCTGCCACTTGACGACACTTCCTATTAATAGTGACGACTGTCCTTGGGTCTTTTTACAAAAGAAGATGTGGCGTGTGTGACTGCTGTACTGTGGGCTTTCTAGGAGAAGATGATTTAATAAAAAATAAATGAAGTTTAAAAAATTGCGTGACAAGGAGCCTCACACTGCGTGCGGATCGTACGTCACACTTCACCCGTTGGCCTGTCTGCGCTCCCCTCCATCCTTCAGAGTAGTCGACATGTCATGAGCTTTCTTCCATAAAACTCCAGGCAGTCATTTTCTCCACTGCGCGCGCGCGCGCACACACACACACACACACACACACACACACACACACACACACACACACACACATGCACACACACGCGGGTGACTTATTTTTAGCACACCGCGATTTTTGAAGGTAGAGCCGGCATTGACCCTTAGCCTCACCCGAGCTTCAGTCCTTACAAGGTCCCCCCTGGGTGGACACGGTTGCCAGGCGACCCGCCGTGTTTGCAACTCAGCTGCGGATGTCCAGCACATGACCTGCACCTGCCCTTCATCATCATCATCATCGTCCAGCCTCCTCCATTTGGTCCTCATATCATGTGTTGGAGCTTTGGAGGCGCACAGATGGAGAGCCTCTCCTTCTTATTTTGTTGATTCATTTGGTTAGATTTCATTATGGCGCTAGACTGAGATGAACAAAAAAATATATTTCATTCAGTGAAGTAGTGGAAAGCTTTATGACTTTGTCTTATATGTTTGGGAAATTTTCAATCCCCAGACAATTGGCCGAACATACCATGCACACCAAGGTGATAATGCTAATTGGAATAATGCTAACTTGTGATTGACGCCATCCGAAGCATTTATGTTTGGTCGTATTCATTCTCAGGCTGCTTTTACCTTCATTTACAGTCACTCTTGCGTAAAATCTTAATTGCGATGTTTCCGTTTTGTATTTCGAATTGCTTCGGGACATGACCGACATGAAGTATGAAGATGAAGATCCACAGCGAGTGGTAATGAGAGTTGTGCGATGAATTGGGCTGGGAAGCTCCAAGGAGATCTGACGAGCAGGAAGGTCGCGGCCGATTAGTACAAGACAGCTGCTGGAGACACACTTGACCCGCTGGAGGACACCCGAGTGCCGCAGACGGGCCGTCAAGTGGACAAAGACGTGAAACCGTCAAGCCTCGTGACGTATTTTGTGAGCGCCAAGTGCTCTTTTATGGCCCTAAAACCGTAACGCAAGAGGCTGATGAGATATACCTTATATGAAGGAACTATACTTTTTTTAATCCAAGAAAAATATCGGTTTAGATTATTTGCAGTCACCCGCATTCTGAATTGTGTATTATTGTCTTGACTTCCTATCTATGAAAACCGCTATCTGTATTTTCAACTGAGTTCAATGAAAGTAAAGTGCACTTACACGGTTTATAACTGTAGGGGGAGCCCACGAGTAAAATAGATCGTATGCGAAAGATTATGTTCAATTTCATAATCCAATAAACTTTACCTAAGTGTTAATTCAGGGAATAGATAATTAATTGTAGAACCGGCCCCATGACATTGTGAGCTGTTACTTGTTTTAACACTTGTATGACAAAAATATTACAACGTTTCTAAAAACATGATGTCATTGGCTTTTTAATTTGAGAGTATACACTGAGAAAAATGGCGTATGATTTCGAGACTTTTTTTAAGTAGATTTATAGTCTACTTCAAAATGTATTTCAATCCAGATGATTCCATTGTGTGTAGCCGCTGGACAAAATTGAGTAAATTCAACACAGCATTTATTTCAATGTAAAAATGTCTTCATAAATTTTGTTGATTGGGGGGGGGGAAGAAAAACTGGATGACTTTTAAATTTCCCTGACTAGTATTCACAAGCCATTTGATTTACCGCAGTAGAAATGTGACTGAAATGAAATGTTATTGGATATTTAACCATGTAAATGAACATGCGGCTCATAAGATAATGCTTTATTCCATAGAGACTCTTGACTCCCTGCTTACAAAGGCCGGCTTGTACAACAACTTCACACAAGTCCATCTTTCGTTTGGAAAATAATCGCAATTCTGGACAGGAGCGCACAATCTAGAGTAGCGCAAACATTCTTGAAGACATAAATGATCTTGAACCAACTACAAATCACTAGAAATGAATAAACATTTTACAATGTCTGTTTTTTTTTTTTTTAATGAGCATATAAGACACGTTTAAAATGATCACAGACTAAAAGATGCGAGGCTTTATCCGACTTTCATTTTGGAGTTGATTCTATTAAAAATGGAAAAAAAATATACATGATATATCATATATACACGATGAGAGAAGCCCCTTTTAAAATCAGTCCTGTTTAAAGCTATCAGTGCGCGTTTTTTTTCTTCCCAGTTAAAAACCCATTCATGAAGCACAGCAATGACATTCACCCTATTTTTTTTCCTCTAACATCTCATAAAATTGTGCTAACATGGAATCAGATGTGCTGTTATTAGAAGCAAATATCCCCACAAAAATGATTGTTAACAAGAGTACAGAAATACACTTTAAGACGTTTGATCCACTCTGACTGATTATCCAATAAACTAAAGTGATTGTCAGGTGAGTGGGCGTAGCAGCAGGCACACACGCGCACATACACACGCACACACACACGCACACACACATTTCGAACAGTCCAGTTGTCGTTCACGGTTAGTAGTACATTAGTTAGATCATTTGTGGACTATCTTTTCACGAATAGAAATGAAAGGACTAATAGAATGTTCATGACACAGGATTTTTTCTTGAAAAAAGGGCCTTTTCTGATGCTTGAGGGAATCACCGCAACACAAAATGGTGTTGTCGTAGTAGTAGTAGTAGTAGTAGTTGTGTGTCGGGCGAGCCGAAGGCCCTATAGGTTGCTAAATAGTTCATTTTTCTTGGTCCAGTCCATGGCCGGGGCTCTCTTATTGGAGCGTTTCTGATGGGCCAGCTCTTTCACCTGCTGCAGGCTCATGTTTAGAGCTGGGATGGCCTCCGTCGCCACACCCTGCGGGAGAGCCAGACAAACCATTCAGTTCGGCCATCCAAAAAATGCGGCAAAACACAAGCGCCGATCTATTTATTGCCACTCCCGGTTGACAAGACCGCCACCGCCTCGGATATGTTCTGTAAATGCGCTGAGACATACGTCGGGTGGGGTGCTCGTGGTTGGGGTTGTGAGCGAGGCGTTGGATGAGGCGTTGGATGGCGAAGGGCTGACTGACATCTTGGAGTCCCTCTGAGCGCCTCTGCCGTTCACCTGGTGACACAAACATTGGCGTGAGAGGTCTTGAGAGGAGGCGCCAGGAAAGAAACGGCAATCCGAATGTGCATGTACAGTTCTGATCATATGTATTCTATTGGTTTTCCTTTGGGATTGCTATTCAATGACAGCGTCTTGCCAATAGTGGAGTACCAAATACGACCACACGGAGGAAGCCTTGCGTTGGTGACGGCTTTCGG